CAAGTTCTAGAACCCCTTTTAGGTATTCTAATCAGTTATAGGCTGAAGATGGGCTTACAAGTTTTCTGTAATCATGTTTCCCAACATTCCTTTCTATCCCATTCAAGCGTATATTTTACAATAGTAGGCAAGGGAAGCCAATATTCATAAGACAGCCAAGCATTTTAGTATTAGTTCCCCTCTTCAAACTATGCCTAGATCCCTGTGTATTACAGAGCCCTGTGGTTCCAAGGTTGAGTATGCATTACTATTTACCTGTCCCACTTAGGCCATGCAAACCTGTCTCAATGTCCCCCTATCTATCTTGTTCTTCTACCTCCTTCCCCTTCTTGTACTGCTGTCCCCAACCCCACTGTTGTGGTTACCTTACATTCCATTAACTCTTTCCTCCATTTAAGACAGTCTATTTTATCCTGTAATTTACCTGACCTTCCCACCACCTGGATCTCTCTTCCTCTTTGTTGACCTTCTTTCATATTATAATTGTTTTGACCATAGACTAACCTCCCAGATCCTCTGTTCGTATAATTTTATTCTGTTATTGACTCTTCCATTTGTCGATTGAGTTCAGGGTGATGCTGCCACGTACGTCATTCTGTAGTTGCTGTCTGTTCTTGTTGGTCCTCAGTCCACAGAACTTCCTTTAGGATGTTTTTCATAGCAGCGTTGGCTTTGGCAAAGCCTCTTTGCTTCTGTTTATCCTGGAATGTTTTGATTACACCATCGTATTTGATTGACAGCTTTGCTGGGTAGAGGATTCTTGGGTGGTAGTTTTCTTCTTTCAGGGTTTTATATATGTCTCCCCATTGCCTTCTTGCTGCATGGTTTCTGTTGAGAGATTTGAGTTTAAACTGATTTGCTTGCCTTTGTATGTTATATTTCTCTTTTCCCTAGCTGCTTTCAAGATTCTGTCCTTGTATTTGATTTTGGAGAGCTTGATTATTATATGTCTTGGTGATCGTCTTTTAGGGTCTATCCTTCATGGGGTTCGTTGAGCTTCCTGAATATTTATCTTTTCACTTTTCAGGATGTTAGGAATATTTTCTTCCAGAAGCTCTTCAACTATCTCCTCTGTGGACTTGTGTGATTCTTCCTGTTCCGGAATGCCAATAATTATTATTATTCCTCTTCATGTTGTCCAACATAAATCTTAGGCTTTCTTCAGATTTTTTTTTTATCCTTTTTTGTGTTTGTCCTTCTATCTTAGTAGTGTTGACAGATTTATCTTCTAGCTCATAGTTCTGGCTTCTATTTCTTCAATTCTACTCCTTTGCCCTTTCAATGGATTGCCCATTTCTGATATTCTATTATTAATCGTTTGGACCTCTTTCTGTAGGGTTTGAAATGCTTCCAATGCTGTATCTATTTGACTGTTCCTGTAGCGCTTTCCTGACTTATTTTACTCAACTCCACTGTACAGTGTTTTGATACATTTTATAATCACTTTTCTGAATTCCTTCTTAGGCATTTCCTAAGCCTACCCATCTTCCAGGATGGAGTGTAGTAGGTCTACTTCCAGCTCATTTGCCTCAGTCACTTTATCTCATTTCTGGACATGTGCTGATATGGTCAACTGCTTCTGATTTTTAGGCATACTCAGGAGTTATCTGTGGCCTTAATACTTAAATGGGTGTGTATTTTGGTATTTTTCATGCTTTCTGATTGCCTCCAGGTAGATGTGATCAGAAGGTGGGCTTCCCTTTTCACTCTTCTTCCTGAGAAATTTCAAGATGCCACACTTGGTCACTGTGCCATAACTCAAGATTTAATTTTCAGCCTATTTCCTTTTTAGTCTGCCTGTCCCACTCCACAATCCAAGTTCAGGCCTTATTCCTAGTGAGGAACAACAGTTCAGGGCCGGCTGTGGCCACTTTGCACTGCCATTTGGTTTTTAGCGCAAACTGTCACTTTAAATTTGACATCTGTGCGCATGCATAGTACAACCCTCCAGGGTTGGGGTGTACACTTGTTTAGGCATCCCCTCTAGTAACCAGAATGCATGTCCACACCTTTATCTCTGCAGTTCTGTCAGGCATATGTAGCTGCTCTGATCCTTCCCCTGCTTGGTCGCACCCAAGATGGCAGCTCCAGAAGCAGCTGAGCATCTTGAATTAGAAAGCAAATTCCCCTAGCTGTAAGCTTTCCAACCTTCTAAATATTCCTTTATGTGTGGTTCAGAGTTCTGGCACCATCTCCTGAGTCTGCTTGGTCCAGTATTCGGTGCTGTTGCTGAGGGAGCTCCTCACTGCACTTCCACCCGATCCGCCATCTTGTTTGTTCTTTGTTGTTGTTGTTGTTATGTGCCGTGGAGTCGGTTCCAACTCAAAGCAACCCTGTACAGGGTTTCCGAGGCAGTAAATCTTTACAGGAGCAGAAAGCCCCATCTTTCTTCCATGGAACAGCTGGTAGTTTCAAACTGCTGACCTTAAGGTTCGCAGCCCGATTCATAACCACTACACTACCAGAGCTTTTGGTGGTGGTGATGTAAGGTGGAGTCAGTTCCGACTAATAGCGACCCTGTACAGGGTGTCCAAGGCTGTAAATCTTTACAGGAACAGAAATCCTCATCTTTCTCCTGTAGAACAGCTGGTAGTTTCGAAGTGCTGACCGTGAGATTAGCAGCCTGATTCATAACCACTACGCTACCAGAGCTCCTTACTATTTATTTTAGGTTTATCTAAAACTTTAAATAATGAATGTTTTAATAAACCACACATACTTGACATGGTGATTAAGTAGGTAAGCAATTTATCAAGACACAATTGATTTCTACACTTAAAATCTGTTCATTTTATTGGCTGTAAACCTATACTTCAATGAAAACCCTCCAGGAACATGATACAGCGTTGTTATATGTCAAAAAATAAATATAATTAAATTAAAAAAAAATTCCAGTTATATTAAAAAAATACATCAAAAGATCAATACTACTTTACATTTGGAAATATAATAATTACAGAATAAGAGAATGGATTTGGTAAGTTAATTACCACTAAAAGAAAAGGTTTAAAAAATTTTTCATGTTCACATTTTACCACAGCAGCCTTAAAAAATATGTTCTACTTTCAGTATCTCACCAAAATTAATTCAAGGGAAGAAAACTGCCAAGAATGAAAAAATTGAGGGTTTAACTGTCCAACTTTTGAAATGATTTACAGTATTAATAACTTGAAAGATAAACTTCTAATAAATCATTGTACCTATAAGATATGATTGTTGTTGTTGTTAAATGCCATCAAGTTGATTATGACCCATAGCGACCCTGTACAGGGTTTCTGAGGAGCAGTTGGTGAGCTTGAACCTCCAACCTTGTGGTTCAAACCAACTTTGCAGTCCAATGCATTAACCCACAGTGCCACACCAGGACTCCAAAATGTGATTGTTGCTGCTGCTGTTGTTAAGTGCTGTGGAGTCGGTTCTGATTCATAGTGATCCTGTACAGGGTTTCTGAGGAGCGACTGGTGAGCTTCAAACCGCCGATCTTACAATTCAAACCGGCTCTGCAGTCCAGCACATTAATCTGCAGCACTATACTAGGACTAAGACAAATATTCTAAATTGTTGTATATGGAAAAGGGGAGGAAACATTAAATTCTGCTCTGAGGGTTAATGCAGCAAATCACTATAAAAGGCAAGTTTTAGAAGTTCCATGAAACACTTCTTCTTCCTTTTGTGTCCTTTATTAAATACAAGATGAGAAAAATAGACTTGTATTGAAACTTGGGCCAGCATTTTGCCTCAAGTATGTCAAAGAACAATGCATTTTCAAAATTTCCTGAAATGTTTGTATAAATGCTAATTCCTGTGCCCCACTTCCAATCTATGTCATCAAAACCACTTAGAGGGCCTAGGGGTATATATTTTAAATAATGTTTAAATAAAGAGTATTAGAAACAATAATATGCTGAAATATAAGAACTGCTAGCTTAAATCATATGATGTGATGCTGCAGAATAAGCACTGGCAACCATAAAGTCAGTGGTTCAAACCCAACAGCAGCTACAAGTCAGAAATGACTCAATGGCATTTAACAAGATATTCAGTTATCCTCATTATTAAATATTTCCAGTCTAATTAAGATGAAATCAATAAAACACTGTAATGTTTTAAAGAAAATAGCTAAGAGGCAAGGCAATGTTGATTTCAATTTATTTCCTAAAAGCTTAACATTTAAGGCACTTCTATATTACAGCCAATATTTTTAAGTAGGAGCAAACAGCTTTATTATAATAATATATTTAAAGCACAGGCAAACTACTCTGTTGTAAGGCTGGGAAGCATTAACGGGGAGGGGGGGTTTACAGAGCAAATGACATCATATACATTATTCAAATGTGTTCAGACCCTCTTATGATCATCAAAACCACAAATGTCAAGGGCACTGGCTTATATCAATTATCTTAGTTTTTCATTTCTTCAAAAAGAGTATAAATTTTTCTAACCAAATTATCCAATTTACTAAGTACCAATAACTGTCATAGTGTGGTGCTGTAGAATAAGCACAGAACTGTTAAAGTGAAAGGTAGGTGGTGCAAACCCACCAGCTACTCCTTAGAAACCCTATATAGGGTCACTATGAATCAGGATTGACATGATGACACTTAACAACTACTCTCATAGCTAAAAATTCAGTTGTTCTTTTATCAACAAGATAGGATTACATACATAATACTCAGCAGCCACTATTTAAAAAAAAAAAAAAAAGTCATGTTCACTCAACTTCTCCCTTAAGGCATTTTAAAACCAGCATTATTTATTAATTAGTAAGATCTGAGCAGCTGGACTATATGAACAGCATGGCATCAGATTGGAAGAAGACTCTTTAACAACCTGCAATATGCAGATGACAACTTAGCTTGCTAAAAGGAAAGAAGACTTGAAGCATTTACTGAGGAATATCAAAGACTACAGCCTGACATCTTGAAAGACACAGAAAAGATTGATGTTGTCAAGGATTTAATTTTAACTGGATCCATAATAAACATTCATAGAAGGAGAAATCAAGAAAATGAATAACAAATTGCATCGGGCAAATCTGCTGCAAAAGCCCTCCTTAAAGTATTACAAAACAAAAAATAACCAAAGGCATAATTTTGAGGACTAAGGTGTGTCTGACCCAAGCCATGGTATTTTCAATTGCCTCATATTCATGTGAAAATTGGATAATTAACAAGAAGAATTGAATTTTAATTATACATTTGAATTATGATATTGAAGAAGATACTGAAAGCACCATGGACTTGCCAGAAGAATAAATAAATCTGTCATGAAAGAAGTACAGCCAGAATGTTCCTTAGATGCAATGATTAAGAGACTTCGTCTTACACTTGGGACATGTCCTCAAGAGGGACTAGTCTTTGGAGATGGACCTCATGCTTACTAAAGGGTCAACGAAGGGTCTTATGAGATGGATGCCACAGTGGCTACAAAAATGGGCTGAATCATAGCAATGGTTATGAGGATGGGCACTGTTTTTGTTCTGCTGTACATAGAGTCCCTAAGTGCTGACTAAACAGCACTTATTTCAAAGAAGTTCAGAAAACAAAGCATACCGTACTGACCTCTCTTAATTCCCGGATCTGTTCTGATAATCCACCAATTTCAGAATAAGAAACATTCCCAGGGTCCTCATGAGACATGTTGTAAACCAATGGATCCACTTCTCTAGGCAAGTATCTGGAATGATAAAATATGTATTTTTCTTTTAAAAGATGTTATTTCCTCTGAGCCTACTGATCCATTACAGATGACTCACTATGTAAATACTTACAGGTGAGCTTATGAAGACACGCTCAAATTAATTAGAAATTAGTAAAAGGGAAAAAAATTCAGTACAGTGATATCAAGAGCATTTATTTTGAATAAGACCTTCCTCCTATGAAAATAACAGTAAAACTAAATGGAATAAAAAATGTACCTCATGATAGTTAGTGTAGTCATATCCAAAGCAACTCTTGTTCCTGGCTTCAGCTTACTTTTGTCAAGCTAATTTTGTAAAACAAAAGGCGTTACATAAACATTTTAAAAAGACAAAAAACACTTAACAAGAGCATAATATTTAGAAGCCAAATAAATCACTTTTATCCTTCAGAGAACACACCATGCCAATATATGGGATTACAAAAGTACTAATTTAAAGTTCTTTCTATCTATCCCTAAGAATACCCTTTTGTGCAATCTCAGTGTGAAATAGGCATCACTGACACAGAGATCAGGCAGAAATGGTCTTATTTTTGAAGAAATGGATTTTCAAAGGTTCACTATTTAATAGTTTTGCTTATTATTTTGATCTAGGAGCTGTAGAATATTGACTTTAGGAAACGATACAAAGAAATCTCCTGATTGGAGGAAGGAAGGGGAGGAGCTTTAAAGATTTGGCCACTGGAAAATCTTTAAAAACCACAACTTTGGGAAACAATGTGTCCTACTGCAGAGGAAAATATACTGTTTCTAACAGATTTTTACCAAAATGCTAAAAACAAAACAAAACCCCCAGCAACCACCACTCTTGCCTTTGCTACACACCAGGCATTCCACTAAAGTCACGCTAAACAATGTACTGGCTTCTCTAAGCAGGGCATTTTATTTAGCTAGCCCTGGATTAGACCATGTGGACTCACCTCTCAACTAAGGAAGTTACTTTTTCTTTTGATCCTTTTAAAACTATTAAATATAACTATCTTGCCACTACAGTTTTATTGTTGTTGTTATGTGCCGTGGAGTCAGTTCAGACTCATGGCGACCCTCTACAGGGTTTCTGAGGCTGTAAATCTTTAAGGCATTTTAAAATCATATAAATTACTGATCATTTTTTACAGGATTTAGCTGCATTTAAATGAAGTGGAGAGAAGCAAAACACTAGGTCTAACAAAATGGTTTATGCTTAAAAAACAAAAACCCACTGCTAGGTGAGACACTAGAAAAGAGACATTGAGATCCATGTGAAGATATTGCAACGTTCACATCTTTTAGAGAACATACACTCAGGCTTTTCTAATGTTTTCCAGTTTTCAAATATTCTGTTGTTCTCATACAACTCTGAGATATCTTAGAAATGCCAACTGCAAGCAAATGGCGCTTGAAGTCCTTTGATAGACTAATATTTTGATTTAGAAACTATCACTCCATTTATATGTTAGGTAAAATTCTAAGATTAGATTTATTCCTTAAACTCAATTCCATTCTCATATACATGCTTTAATACTGGACCATGATACAAATACTCAGAGAAAGCACGTCTAATTAATTTAAAAGAATGCTCTGCTTAGATGCTTCCTAAAGAACAGGGCAGTACAGACTGAATGGGGTAGTACATGGTGAATGATTCAACCCAGTTTGTTGGGATTTTTAATGACTGCAAAGGAACATAGTTATTTCAGTTTGTCTATTCTAATCTGAGTAAATAGGAGCCTTCCCTTCTAACTGAAAAGTTAGCGGTTCAAATTCAAGAGGTGTATCGTAAGAGAAAGATGTGGCAGTCTGCTTCTGGAAAGATTACAGCTTTGGAAATCCTATAGGGTCACTGAGTTGGAAGCAACTTGATAACAACTGATTTTAGAGCTGACTGAAGCAATGTGATAGAACAGACATGAAGAATACAGGAGTCAAAGCCCATGGCTTGAATTGAGGCTGCTCCTTGGAAACCCTATACAGGGTTGCTGTGAATCAGAACTGATTAGATAGTACTCAACAATAACTATTATTTGGCGTCCTGGTGTGAGCTGCAGGATACACATTGGGCAACAAGGTTGGTTTGAACCAAAAGGTCAGCAGTTCAAGCTCACCTGCCACTCTTTGGAAACCCTATACAGGGCTGCTATGAGGGGTCAGAACCGACTCGAGGGCATATAACAACATACAAATATAAAGTATTACCTGTCGACGACAACCCACAACATATCTTGGTCCATTTGTAGCTTTAACAATGACTAGAGGAAGGAAATGGAAAAACATGAAATAACATTTAAATATATACACATCAATGCTGTATTCAATTTTAGTTGCCCTTCAAGAAGAGTTGAAAGCTTAATATAGTCTATACAACAAAATCATCTCCCTTCATCATGGTCATTAAATTAATAAGTGCTTTCAAAATTGGGGTGTTTATGTGTGTTCAACTCTTTTTTTTCCTGTACTAACAATGGAATCTACTTACATTTTTCTTCAGTTAATTGCTTAAGCACTTCACCCACAATCTAAGAAAGGAAGAAAAAAAAGCATTACTTTTTGTCAAGTACTAAAAAGGCAAAACAAAATTACCATCACCCTGTAAACTCCAAACACCATTACCTACCTGTCCAACACTTTGTAGGGCCTTCAAATCATTTTCAGACTTTTCATACTGCTTGGTAAGTTCTTTTAATTGCTCCCTTACTGAAATAACATAATTTAAAGAGTTTTAATTAAAGAATTGTCTTAATGAGTGTATCACATTTGCACCTCACTTATGTTTATTTCACTTTTTTATATTCAGGATATCAAACCACAAAATAAATGACTGTGTGTCATGAGTATGTTACATGTTTAAAAACCAAACATTTGAGAAAGCACGGCATTTTTAGTTCCTTGATGGACACTCGCTATTTAAGTACATTTTAAATCACATTCTTAGCAGATGGTGATTACAAATTCGAATGATCAATTGTTCTATCCTACATGAGCTCTCCATAGAATTATGTGGTCATGGTCTTCGCTGATTTAATGAACTCGTTCCAGCTTTTCAATGAAATGAGCACTATGAAAAATCTTAAGGGCCCCTTTAGCTCAGGAGGTAATGGAAACGTGCCTGCCTGATAAAATACAACACGAAACAAGAGGATAGAACGAGGATAGTTATTAGACCAAAGGACTCTATTCTTAAAACTAGGCATCCGGATTTTAATTCCATTTACAAGCCAACTGTGCAGGGCTCATTTACTGCTGAGCTTTGACTCAAGCCTCTTCCCCTGAGTCCGGGACTTCAGCGGCGCTGCCCTTCTTCCACTCCAACCCGAGAAACAATCCTGGCCCACTTCTTCCCCACTCTTCCTTTAGTCCTTTTCCACTTCCATCTCAGAACCGGGATGTTCTCTCTGTCACCCGGCCCACATTGGGCCATTTCCGCGGCCGAACAGACGCTCCTTTCGGAAGCTCAGGGCCGGATGACAAAGCGCCTTGTCCCTGGACCGAGGCCTTCCCATCCTCTAGGCTAGGTTTTCGGGCTCGGCCAAAGGCCTCCTTTTGTCAGAAGCAGAAGTGGGTCCAGGTACACGATTATGTGGAAAGAAAGGTGTACTCACACTCCTTGAGACGGCCGTCGATCTCCTTGTGCTCCAGCAGCTTCTTGCGGTAGTCCTGAAGTGCCTTATCTCTAGGGTCCGCCATGATGAGAAGCCGTCGCTCATAGGGGATGCTGGGAATGGCCATGGCCGCCCGGGCGGGGGAAGGGGCGGGGCGAGGGAGGAGCGCCTCCCGAAGGGGCGTATTCATGGTCGAACACGCCCCTACGGTTGGCCCCGCCTCTCTACTCCACTTCTCCCACCTCTGTGTCTCGGTTCACCTAGGGCGTAAACGTGCACCGAAGGAGGCCTCCAGCCACACCGTCCCCTGCAGGCCAACCTGAGTAAAGCAGGAGTTGTTATTTCGGGTTTTCATCTGAGAGTCATAACGATTCTTTTACTGCTGTCCCGGAACCACGTTTCTTGCTGTTGTCAGGTGCCATCGAGTCGGAACCGACTCATAGCGACCCCATGCACAGCAGAACGAAACAATGTCCGATCCTGGGCCAACCTCACCACCGCTGCCACACTTGAGTCCATCAGTGATGCCACCTGGCCAATCCATCTCGTTGGAACCACATAGATAGTGTAATAAACTGAAATGAGAGTGAAATAGGGATACGCAATATTTTAAAATAGCACCGATGGTCTATTGGTATAGCACACAGCCCGCACAGTATCTTGAAGTACAGAAGCAGTAGGCAATTTAATTAATGCAGTCAATGAATGAGGTACTAAGTGTACAGCTGATTATGAAGATAAAAAATAGATTTTTAAAATTTCAGACTGTAGTACATACTGTGATGAACCTAAACTACGATGATAATGCAGAGTAAACTGAGCAGAACTAATTTAGAGCAGATATCTGAGACGAAGAGCCAGCCAAAAAACAAACTGAAGAACATTCTGAGCAGAGAAAGCTGTGAGCGCAAAGATCCAGAGGTGAAAAATTGTTTAGCTCGCTTCTAGGAAGAGAGGGAAGGCCAGTGAAACCGAAAGAGAGGTTGTAGACATGTGAGGCACAAGATAAAGATACTGAAGTAGGTTGTTGTTGTTAAATGCCGTCAGGACAGTATTTTTTTATTTGTCAGACTTGCTTTAAGATTTCTGTGGCTTGGGAAAATTTTCTTATTCTCTCTAAATCTCTGTATACTAATGGTACCTATTTGTTAGAGTTGTCTTGAGAAATGCTAGGGCTTAAATTGTGTCCTTTCAAAATAAGGTTGGGATGTTAAATTGTTGTCAAGTACCCTTGGGTCAGTTCCTATTCATAGTAACCCTGAATAGGATTTCTGAGGAGTGGCTAGTGGGTTTGAACTTGACCTTGTGGTCCTACCATGTCACACCAGGACCATCATGACCCTAATCCCATGTAAGGGATATGGATCCCAGGAGGATGGTGTGCATCCCCTTTTAGTTCACAAGAGATAAAAGGAGAAAGAAGTGAGCAGGGAAAGAGGAGCCTATCGACACTGAGAAAGAAGAACCAGGAGTGGAGTGTGCCCTTTGCACTGCGAAGCTCCTAAATTCAGGAGAAGATCCACGCCAAGATGCATGGAGATCCCCAAGAAATGCTGGGGCTGCAGATGAAAGGAAACAAGGAGCTTTCTCCAGAGCTGAAAAAGAGAAAAAGCCTTCTCTTAAAACAAAAAAGCTGGCACTGAATTTGGACCCCTAAGCAGTGAGTGAATTCATTTCTGTTTGTTACAGCCATCCACTTGTGATGTTTTTGTCTAGTGCTTTAGGATAAGCACTCCACAGCAAGATTAGTTTGAACCACAAGGCCAGTGGTTCATATTCACCAGCCACTCCTTGGGAATCCAATACAGAGTCCTTAGGGGGTGGAACCAACCTGAGAGCACTTACAACAACAGCACTTGGATAACTAAGACTAGTGCTAAATGAGATAATGTGCCTAAAGCTGGTAACACATCATCTGGCACGTAGTAAGAACTAAAGAGTGTTGTTTTAAGTTATTATTTACATATATATTGTTTATATTAAGGGTAATAGTTGTTGTTAAGGTCTGTAGAGATGGTTGCAACACATAGTGACTCAATTACAACTCACAGGGTTTCTGAGGAGCACCTGGTAGGCTTTAACTGCCAACTTTGTGGTTAGCAGTCCAGTGCTTATCCTACACATCAGGACTCCATTAAGGGTAGTAATGATCCCAGTTTCTGAGATACAGGTCCTTATTGTTATGCCTCTTCCCAGCACTGTACCTGGAGAATGTCCCAGTAAAATCACTCAACTTTCTAAATAAAACCAAACTCACTGACATTAATTTGATTCCAACTCAAGATGACCCTGTTTGTGTCAGAATAGAACTGAGCTCTATAGGGTTTTCCTGGCTGTAATCTTTATGGAAGCAAATTGCCAAGTATTTTTTCCATTGTGTCACTGGATGGATTTGAACCACCAATCTTTGGATTAAATTGTTATTGTTGTTGTTAGGTGCTGCTGAGTTGGTTCCAACTCATGGAGATCCTATGCACAACAGAATGAAATACTTCCAGGTCCTCTGCCATCCTCTCAATTGCTGCTGGGCTTGAGCACATTGTTGCTGCCACTATGTCAATCCATCTTGTTGGGGGTCTTCCACTTTTTTATTGATCCTCCACTTCACCAAACATGATGTCCTACTCTGGGGACTGGTCCCTTCTGATAACATGTCCAAAGAATGTAAGACTAAGTTTTGCATCCTCCCTTCTAAAGAGCATCCCATCCAGGCTGTACTTCTTCCAAGACTGTGTTCTTCTGGTAGCCCCTGGTACTTTGAGTATGCTTCCATTCCATGTTTCAATTATTAATGGATCTTTAAAGCTGTTTCTCCACCACTCGTCTGTCAGTTTGTCATACTGTGGTGGTTTGTGAGTTGCTGTGATTCTGGAAGCTGTGCCACTGGTATTTTAAATACCAGCAGGGTCACCTATGGTAGACAGATTTCAGATGAGCTTCCAGACGAAGACAGACTACGAAGAAGGAATGATGAACTACTTCCGAATATTTAGTCACTGAAAACCTTATGAACAGCAGAGAAACACTGACTGATATTGTTGTTGTCAGGTGCCATCGAGTTGGAACTGACTCATAGCGATCACCATGCACAGCAGAACGAAACAATGTCCGATCCTGGGCCAACCTCACTACCGCTGCCACACTTGAGTGCATCAATGATGCCACCTGGCCAATCCATCTCGTTAGAGGTCTTCCTCTTTTTCTCTGACCCTCCACCTTACCCAGCATGACATCCTT